TTCTCTGGACAAGTCTTTTCATCCCCCATCACTACAGTGTTTGGTGCAGTAAATATTCATTGGATGCCTCCTTGCTGAAATGCTGCTCATGTTAAACAATTCATCTTAAATACTACTTTCTTCAAGATTTTCTTCACGCATATCCTTGAAACCTTCCACTGCTCTGTATCATGATCTTTTGCAAACGTCTCACTCCTCTGTGAGGCTGCAAATGAGCACTAGTTTGCTTTGCTTTGGTATCTGTTGCAGTATCTACCACAATGCTCCCCCCCCAGTAGATAGATAATGCTTGTTGACTGTACCCTCCATAATTCTAATTCTGTAATTCCACTTTCTACTTCTCAATGAGTTCTTTCCTTGTTAAAGAAAAAAAATTCCCCTAAGTACAGTAATATTTATGATTCCAAATATTCAATGCTGGCAGCTGGATGAATGAGATCCACAATAATGTCTCTCCCAAAAATGCCAAACCAAATGTCAAACTAGTCCTTGCTCTTACGATCATCAACTAAGGAACAAAAGCACGTAGTCAGGGGTTATAAAAATAGTAAGAAATGAAGATTTATAAAAGCACTAAAAATGTCTGACCTGATACAAATGCTGAGCTTTTCAGAGCAGATTCAGTTGATAGCTTCATGCACAGAGAGGAGCAGGTACTCTTACAAGTAGCTAAGGAGGCCTGGCACCTGTGATTCCTCTGGAAAGGCAAAGGACCACCCTTACTCTCAGGGGCGTGGGCAAAGAGCCTGGTATTTTCTGGGCATTCATTAGGGGTGACATGTACTTTTCAGTTCAGATTCCCAAAAGAAAAAGTTTCCTGAATTACTTGAAAAATGAAGTATATGTTGCTGGAGATGAGGTGAGGGGACAGTGCTAAGGTCCATCCCAAGGGCTCTGCCTGGTTTTATATGTACTCAGATGTGAACTGTAACAGGATTTTGTGTACACTGGCAGATGGGAGGGACAAGCTGAATTAACTCTTGAGAACTGAGGGAAAAGGATTTTTTTTTTTTGGCGGTACTGGGATTTGAACTCAGGGCCTACACCTTGAGCCACTCCACCAGCTATTGTTTGTGATGGATTTTTTTTCAAGATAGGGTTTCACAAACTATTTTGCCTGGGCTGGCTAATGATCTCTGCCTCCCGAGTAGCTAGGATTACAGGCATGAGCCATCAGAACCCAGTGGAAACAGAACCACTGGAAACAGAACTACAAACCACGGACTTCGCTGGTTTCTCCTTTTTCCACCCTTCTCATCTCTTGCCCTCAAAAGACTGCCCATTAGTTACTTAGAAAAACTGGTTAGATGTTCCTTCTCATTTTCAGCTTGACCATAGTAACTGTAATCTCAAAGGTCTCTCTTCACTTCTTCCCACATAACCCAAAGGATTTGTAGTCTAGGAAACCAAAGAACTGTTTCATCAATAAATCAATTTATTTAAAAGAATATGTTACAATTAATTACACTAAGTGACATTACCAAACAATTTTAGAGTGGTTAGCTCTAGAATAAGGAATGAAAGAAACACTGTTAGCCATTATGTGTCTGTGTATTTTCTCTTCACATTTCTTAAATCACAAATAAAAAATACAAGATACTGCAGTGAAAATACAATTAGAGTTTCTCTCAAATAAATTAAAAGTGTGCACGGTCTGGGAAAAATTGAAGCCTAGTTCACCAGCTTAAAAGGGGACATGATATAAAATTGGTGTCCAAGTTTAGCAGTTGGCCAAGTGCCTCCACCCCATTTTAAGCCCCTCTTCAGTTGTGTTCCTCCCCAGAACCCTAAGCTTCCAAAACACCCTCAATTATTGCTGAGGAGGGAGCTGCTGCTGTCCTGGTATGAAAAAGGCCTGGCACCAATATGCTCAGGTTTAGTTTAAGAGGAAGAGAGCAGGTAGAACTGAAAGTTGGGGGGCTGAAACACTCCCACTGCTTGTATTCTCCCTCCCTCCCTCCGAGTATTCAGTCACATCATCCCTCCTCCAAAAGGAAGCTAATATGACCCATGAAGCTGGTGAAGGAACATCATCAGTGTGCTGAAGTCTACTGCTAAGTCAGTCTGCCAGACAGCAAGGTGGAGAGAAGGGAGGGCACAGTGGTCTCCAGCTCTGGAGACTTCAGGTCAACTAGCATGCAGATCCCTTCAAGAAAACTGCATCCTAGAAGCTAGGCCCGTAAGTTGGCAAACTGTGAGATGAGAGAGGTGTCACCTCCTGTCAGTGCCCTATTCTGCTGCTCCAAGCATTGAGTTTGGAGCTACAAGAGGGGATAACCCAAAGCTACTGGCCCAGGTAACTAAAGGATGAAACTAAATAGGGCAGGCATGAGAATGTGGTAATATTTATCTAATTCCTCCCTGAGAGCTCTGTCCAGGCCTAGGAGCTGCCCCGAGCACACACATATCTGTACCTGTGCTGAGCTTAGGCCTAGGGCAAGGGGAGGGCAGAAAAATGGAGAACAGAATAAAATATATAAAGAGCAGTGAGCTCAAACCATGGCCCAAGAGAACCTTTCTACAGAGGCAGGTTTCTCAGGGCCTAAATTTTTTCCTTTTCCATAAAAAGCTCTGAGCTTTTGCCCCAGAGACTAGAAAGCCAGTGTGGAAGGGACAAAAATGGGAGACCAGGAAGATCCTGCTGGGGTGAAGCTGGGGAGAGGGGGTTTCACCTCCCTTTTCCCAGAGACAAACTGCAAAAGAAGATGGGGCAGACACCTCCCTGGGCAGAAGCCAGGGCTAAGAAATGCAGTAGGGATTAGAAAAAGGAAGTGCAGGGGAAGGGGAAGTAGAGTCACACCTAACACTGCTTCATGCAAAGAAGAGCTTGATCCTATGGATCTTACAGCTACAGTGACCTCTGCCTCCATTACTGGAGGCCTGATGTGGGCGAAAGAGAAGGTGCTGCTATCCTTTGGGGTCTCCCTCCTTTCCGCCTCCTTGCTGCAGCTGGGTGCTGGTTAGTGGGGCAGTCTCAAGTAGAGGCTGTTCCTAAACAGATTCTGGTAACATGCCAACTACCTATTGGGGCCCTCACCCAATCTCCAAAGCACCAAGTGAATGTTATGTCAGAAATGGAACAGAGCAACATCTACCCACTCAGAAGCCTCCAAATCCCTGTGTCTCATATCTGAAGGTTAGCATTAGGGTTGCCATATAAACTCTCCAATTTTTTTCATTCCTCTCCCATTATGAGGAGTGGCACACTACTGCTATTTTTACAGCTTGAACAAAGCTAGTTCCAAAAGCCTCATTACTAAATTCATTTAAACCAAAAGGAAGAGTTGATTCTGTATTAAAGCCTTCAAACCAGAAATTACCCTCTGCAACTTTAAATATATAGCAATCATATGTTTTGCACTCTGAGTCTACCTGGGTTTGGAGAAGGGGATGAGGATAGGATGTCCTACATGATTCCACACCTTCTGGGACAAGTGGCTGCCAGGATAAGAGTGCAAGAGACAGAAAAGTGGCCTCACAATGATCTGCAAAACCAAGTTCCAAAAGAGAAGCTTCAAACCACCCCAACACTGCTCAGCAGAGCTGACTACAACCAATTCTGACTGCATCCCAGCTAGACAAAGCTGAGGATACCACCCTATGGAAGTTTTTACTTAGAAGGTGAAGGGAAGGGGGGATCAAAGATGTGTTTCACTTTCATCTGAGCTTGACTCAATGCTCTTTATAAAACAGCTACAGAATTCAGAGTCTGTTACCCTATAATTTATGTTGGTCTCTGATCTTAGGTCTCAAAGGTCTAACTGCAAGGTCAAGAACTCTTTGAGGAACAAAACAGTTTTCCTTCAGACTCCTTTTAAGAAAAGAGTGGAGATCCAATCAAAATCAACCATATTCTCACTCCTTCCTGGGCCCTCTGCTAGCCTGGATAGGTCTATGGTTTGGTTGACATAGACCATAGACCTATTCCAAGTTTCCCTGAGGCCTTGAAGATACGGTCAGTTCTCTTCCCAATATGCTGTTTAATGAAGTCACAGACTTCATTATTGGTCAGGAGTAGAACAGGTTAAAACCCTATATATACAGGGCATTATTTTATTTCCACAGATCCAACTTTTGTGCCTGAGATATTAGCTTTACCCCTGATCCCTAATACTATTTCTGCTGCAGAAGAGACAGGGAGATGATAAATTACAACCACAAAGTGTTTCAGGTTTCTTCAGCCTCCTGAGTCCACCTTCCACTCTACACTGGGCCAGTGGAAGGAAAGCATAGAGGGGGCCTAGGGAAGGTGCAGGAGATATGGAATGGATGGACCAGGAAAACTGTCTTGCAGTCAAGAGACCACTCCATGTCTTTAGATTCTCCTTGCAGATCTGCAGCTTTGCTGCCTGTGGGAAACACACCTTTTTCTCCTCCCAGCACCCTCTTAGAAGATAAAGATACTTCACTCCTTGCTCCTCAGACTCTATGGCAACCCGTGAGCCAGATACTGTACTTGATACAAAAAAGGGGGGAAACCCAAGCAGGTTGTAAACTTTTCAAGTCCTTCATGAGGAGAGGTATTTTCCCTGTAAATATTTTTTTCCTTTTTAAAGTTTGTTTCAAAATAAAGAGAGCACGAGAGAGGTCATGAATTCTAGTGAAAGGTGTGTAAAAACACAAGCTAAAAAAGGTACTGCCATCAATATGAAATTTAAAAAGAAATATATATATGTATATACGTGCAGCTAATTTGTGTATATATAATTTTTTACATACATACATATATATGTCTGAACAGTGCAAATGGATGAAGTTCATAGTTCCAGTTTTAAAAATATAGTACAAGGAGAGATTGTTGGTATGGGGCCCAGGTAAAAGGACAAAGATACCTTGGTGAGTTGGTTTGGCTTATTCTATCTTATTTCAGTGGACTTCTGCTACTAACCAATCTGTTGTTCTCTATCAGCTCAATTCCAGAGACATGAAATTCAGAGGGAGTTATTAATAATATTTAGTGTAGAGCTTTTGAATATAGTGACTTTTTTCTTTTTCTTTTCTTTTGTGTTAATGGTTACTCTGACATGGGAGATGAAAGGGATAAAGAAGATGAAGGAGAGGAGAAGGGCAGGGGATAAGGAAAGGCTAGGTGGCCACATCTCTCTGCTGTGACCTCGCCATCTGGAAAATATTCTGAAAGGAAAAAAAAAGAAAAGAGTTATTGGGAAGCTGTATCTCCTCCAATTTGGAGACAACCTTCAAACAGAAACAAAAATAATATGACTGGGTGACTCAATTGGATTGGCCTCTTTCCCTGATATAACTTCCCATTTAGAGTCATAGTGTTTTAAGACCTGGAAGGACCTTGAATACTAATTAACTGGCTCAGTCTTCCTGTTTTACAGAAGAGAAAATTCAGATGTAAAGATCTGAAAAGATCTGAAAGATCAAAATTACAGAAAAAGGAAAACTACGAGAAAACCTAGACATGATTTCAGTCCAACATTCTTTCTACTATACTAAGATATAAATGTTCATGTTTTTGACTTTACCTCTTGATCCTCTGATTTTCTATGAGCACAAAAAGCTAAGTATTTAGAATCTTCTAAATTCTGCTCCAGTACTGACACCTATAGATAGCAGTAGCAAAAACTTCCCCTACCCCCATACGCATTCATGGTTAGTCTAGAAACTGTCATGACTCATTCAGACAGTTAAAACTGAGGATAAATGTCCTTCTGGGTCAAGAACAAGAAGGGTGATTTGATTTAAAAAAAAAAAAAAGAGGTAGAGGGTCCACGGAGTCATGAGAGACGGAATTGCCTGTAGCCAATGTCCACCCTCTAGACAAGGGAAGAAGCAGGACATTTTTTTGGACAGCCCATTCACGAGAGGCCAGCCTTGTTGGAACAATGTCCTGGCTCACATGGGATAATCAGTCTCTAACTAATGTTCTAGAAAGACAGAAATAGAGGTAAGGGCCTAGGTTTTTTGCCCTAGGCCTACAAACTTCATCAAAAGATGAAGAAGTTAATTCAAGAATTCTTTAGAATTACCTCTTTTCTCCACTTGAGCTCGCAGAACACCCTCTCGAAGCATTCATGCATGTAATTGAACTGAAAAAGAAAAAAGTAGCAACCCTCACTGACTTCTCAAGACCAGGCATTACAGGGCCACGCTTTTAAACTCCTGCACCAACACCCTATTTTCCAAAAATATTCAGTTTAGTACCACAAATGGAGGCTGGCAATCTACTGTTCTCTAGCTCCTCCTAGTGGTAACTATGAGTCAAGCGGGATGTGAAATTGCCAATCCTAGTAAGGCCTAAAGAAAAAACAGGACGAACCTGGGGCTCTAAGATTCAAATAGGTTGTGGTCTTAAGAGAACTTCTCATTCGCATTGATGTATTTAGCTTAAAGAAAACTTGAAGTCCAGTCTACTTTCCCCATGCTTTGCCATCTCCCACTCACATATGGTGTGAAGATTTTAACCCATCGGGGCTTCTTCTCTCCTCGTGCATATTCGAAACAGAAGGCCATTCCCTCTTCATCTGTGTCCCATCGCTGCATCTCATCCCATTCAAATGCTATTACCTGGTTCTGGACAATCAAGAACAACAGAGTAAGGTGTATAGTTTGAGATTAAGAGTGCTGGGAAGCTGAGGAAAGGGGGTTCTGAGCCAGGCAGCAGAAGAGAAATGAATAGAGATGTCTGTAACATTTCAAAGAAAGGACTGTGACAAAAGAATAAAAGCCAGTGGAAGTAGCTAGTGAAGTTGAGGATCAGTGTGGATCTAGTGCCTATTTATTTACCCTAATCAAAATGGTGTTCAGCCGGGTGCCAGTGGCTCACACCTGAAAGCCTAGCTACTCAAGAAGCAGAGCTCAGGAGGATCATGGTTTGAAGCCACCCAGGGCAGACAGTTCTTGAGATTCTATCTCCAATACAAAAAAGGGCTGGCAGAGTGGCTCAGTGGTAGAGTGCCTGCTTAAGAAGCGTGAGGCCCTAAGTTCAAACCCTGTTGCCACCAAAAACAAACAAAAAAACCTACTATGTTCATTTGCCTACAAAGACAAACTAAAACATAGCAAGTGAGTATCAAAGTGTCACTCACAATGCTCCTGGCCCAGTCCCATGCTGAACTCTCACCTCCAGCTGTCCTTCTTCAGTGCAGGCATGCAGTTTAAAGTGCGTGATGCTGATGGCTGTGATAACGTGCCCCTTCCTCCTGGAGTCGCAGGCACAATGGGGGAAGATGATTTCATTGTAGCCCTCACAAGTCCTTAGCATGTTGAGGTACTAGGTAAAAAAAGGAAGGGAAAAGAGTGTTACTATGAAGCTGAAGAACAGTGAAGAGCTGCTAGGACCATACAAAAAGTATTCTCACCCAGCAACCTGAAGATCTGGCCTCTGATCTCACACTCATCCCTAAATTGGACAGGGCTCTGTGACAATCCTTTATCCCACTCCCAGTTTCTGCCTTCATACTTCCAACCCCCTTTTCTTACTTAAAGAGGATACATAAATGAAGAGATACTGTAATCAAGACCAGAAAGGCTAGAAAGGACCTTACAATCCCATTTAGTCTGGTCCTCTGTTTTCCTTGTACCTAAGGGATGGGAAATCTAATCTACCCTTACAATAAGTAAAAGAGTTAATGTTTCTCCCTGTATCTTCTCCAATCAAAAGTCACAACAATCTCAGTGATGAAGATTAAGCAACTCTAGGGCTGGTGGAGTGGCTCAAATGGTAGGAATGCCTGCCTAGCAAGCGTGAGGCCCTGAGTTCAAATCCCACTATCACACACACACACACACACAGCAACTCTAAAATCTCACACCCGTAAAATGTTAAAACTGAAAGAAAATTTAAAAACTAGTTATTTTGCAGAAATCCAGAGTAAAGTAAGATTATCTTGAGGTCACAGGTAAGAAGTGGTACGACCAGGAGTAAACCCCCCAGGTTTAATTTCTAGGCTTCTTTCCCTTTAACCGTCATCAACTAGCCCCCCAATCAGCCACATTGACCAAAGTACCTCCAGTACATATGCCCCCTTATATATCTGGACCAAATCAAATTGCATATATGAGCTTCACAGGCACAATGCTACAAGACTAATGCAGAGACGGCTCTGAACACTGATGGTCACTCAGCTCTTTGTCCACTCTCCTTTACAGTTAAAGCTGGCCTTTCATTCAACTCACTATTCTGAATTGAGGGAGAGAGGAAAAGATGAGTGGAAGGACAGAAGGAGGGAAACAGGGAAAGGAAAATAAAGAAGGAGAAAAAGAAGATTCATGGTCTGACTTGGTTTCCTCTAGGGGATTGCCTGGGAAGCAGCTCAAGCAAACAGCCTTGAGGCTCCACACCCTTTTTTAGTTGCATGTCACCCAAGAACAGGGCACATTGGTGGTATGTACAAAATGCTAGGGAGAAGGCAAAAGCACAGCACCTTAGCTGATTTCAAATAGATGGGCAGGAGAGTTGCCTTCTGCCTTACCAAGAGAAGAAAGGACACAGGTATGAAAAAGGATACAAGGCAACCTATGGCTCTGCTACCAAAGAATGGCACTTAAGACCTCTGCTACTGACACCATGGACTTAATTAAGAGTCCAGGGAAAAAGCCCTTTCCTATTTTATATTTCTGCTTTGCTAAAAATAATAGCAACTTTGAAGATGAAAAATCATAAAAGGGTAATAAGAATATAGGGACAGGGGCAATTTAGAAGTGCTGCAATACTTCTCTCTTTTTTTTTTTTGAGACAGGCACCATTTAATCCAGGCCAGTCTTGAAGTCGCTAGGCTAGGCTTAAACTTGAGATCCTCCTGCCTCAGCCTCCCAAGTGCTGGGGGCTATACGCATGTGCCAGTATGCCTGCTCTCTCCACTTTTAATTGTCCTTTGTATATCAGTGATAAACATGAATACTACTTAACCCTGTTATATAACTATGAAGAAAAAGAAATCCTTGACTGCTATACTTTGGTAAACTAGACATGAGGTGGGTAGTATGGAATAAGCAACAACTCTTTCTGGGTTACAACAGGCAGCAAAGTTTAGGGTAGAGAGCTTAATCACAGAGAAGTGATTAAGTGGCCGGGTCCCATTAACTCCCTAACTGTGCAACCTTAAGCAAGCTAGTTGAACTCAGTCCTAGCAGCCTATGTTTTCTCTTTTATAAAGTAGGAACTAACAATAGCACTTATGCAATAATGCTATTTATGAGCATTGAATATATTTATAGAACTTGACATATAATTAGATATTTAATAAATGATAACAAATTATTTTTAAAGCTCCATTATCACTAGCAAAAAGGTTCAGTCATTTTCTCTCTTAAGAATGCCTGTGAGAGGACTGGAGGTATGACTCAATTGGTAGAGTGCCTGCTTTGCAAGTATGAAGCCCTGAGTTCAAACCCCAGTACTGCAAATAAAACAAAAACAAAAATAAATCCCAGTTCCTCAGAAAAAAAAAAAAAAAGCCTTAAAAAATGGCTGTGAGGACTAGAAGCACTGGCTCAAGTGCTAGAGCACTTGCCTAATGAGCCAAAGGCCATTAGATTGCATTCCATCTTCAGTACTGTGAGGGGAAAAATAAGGAATGCCTTGTGAAATGACACATCTAGAAATTTCTTTTAAAAAACCCCAGGGGGCTGGGGGTACAGCTCAGTGGTAGAGTACCTGCTTAGCATGCACAAAGCCCTGTGTTCAATACAAACAAATAAAAAAAGGGCCGGACATGATGGTTCACTATAATCCAGCTATTCAGGAGGTAGAGATTAGGAGGAATGGGGTTTGAGGCCAGCCTGGGAAAAAGCTAGAGACACCTCCACTTTACCAACAAGCTGGAGGGCGGGGGGTGGGGGGGTGTGCATCTGTCATCCCAACTATTCAGGAAGCATAAACAGGAGGACTGTGGTCCAGTGAGTTTGAGCATAAATGCAAGACACTATTAGAGAAATAACTGAAGCAAAAAGGGCTAAGAATGTGCTCAAGTGGTAGAATATCTGCCTAACAATCAGAAGGCCCTGAGTCCAAATGCAAATATCACTAAAATAAAAAAGAAAAGCCACAGGGTGGTGGTGGTGGGGGACACACTGAGTGAGATGGATGAAACATGAATGACAGGAAGCTAGCTGAAAGACTACTGAAGCTGGATGTGGGTACATGAGGGCTTTCCATATTATTCTCACAACCTTTTTATGTGTTTGAAATTTTTTACAATAAAATGTTAAAGGAAAAAGAATGCCCCGCAATCAGGCCTCTAGCATCCAATCCATGGCATTCTCCTAAAAAGTTCATCAAAATGATGATATGCTCAATAAGCAGCAATTCTGCTCAATGATGCTTAAAACCTGTGCAAATTCCAGTGGGTGTCACAGAACCTTAAGATGCATTCTACTCAATACTTGACAAAAAGGCTTAAATAAAACACATTTATTGAGAGTTCTTTTCTTTGAAAGGCACCACTACTGTTTTAACAAACATTACAGCCATATTTCTAATCGGGAGTTTTACTATATAGATTTTTTAAAAAAGAGAGAAGAATGCAAAGGCAGGGATTAGGAAAAGAGATCAGAAGAGATGAGGAATTCTGCATATCCTGAGCCTTGTTTTTGGGACCTTAAGAAAGTTACTCTATCTGGGAGCTTCCCCTCTGCCACCTGGAAATAAAGGATACTACTGCCATGCTCTCTCCCCTGATACAGGAGAAAACATGCATTGAAGTCTGACAAACATGGGTTCAAATCCCATTTCCACAGACTCTTCCACTGCTGACAAGCTACATGATCCTGGGTTAGAATGCTATCTCTCAGACTCCATTTCTTTGAAACACCTGCAAGGGGGTAAAACCTGAAAAGCTGTTGTAAAGAAGAAATGAAAAGGGGGTGTGGCCCAAGTGTTAGAGTCCTGCCTAGCAAGTGCAAGGCCCTGAGTTCAAACCGCAGTGCTGCTAACAAACAAAAAAAAAGAATGTACATGAAGGGCCTAGAACAGTACCAGCACAAAATGCGGGCTCCTTTCCCCGCCCTCTGAATTCAAGAATGTTGTGCTTGAAAGAAAAAGACCTTTAGAGGACTTCTTACTGGCATAAGTTCTAAAAATAACCTCCGTGAAAACGAAGGGCACCTTTGTCCTTGATGAGAAACCAGAAGTAAAATCTCACAAGCATCCTTAGGTTTTCAGAGATTCTCAGGTTGGGTGTATTTCTCAGTTTTAAGTGGGCAACTCCTAACATTCCTGATTTTACACCAAGTCTAAGGAGAAGAAACATTTAAATTTTACATAAATCCAAAATTTAGAAAAGGTATCTTTGGGCATTTGCTTTCAAAGACGCTTATATATTTAAAACAAAAAATTATCTTGTGCATTCTCCTTTCATATTAAGCTTTGAGTAGCTAAATATGATCCTGAATTACTTTCCTTGGTTTACATACCACTTAGATTGGCCCATTTATGCTAGAGAAGGGGAAAGGTACAAAACACTTTAGATGAATACATCAAGGTCCATTCTGAAGAACTCTTTGTCCTTCATGCCAAGGCTTGAACCAGGTCTAAAAGTAAAAGAAGGGCTTTCTTTTCTTTTCTTTTTTGTTTTTTGGTGGTACTGGGGTTTGAACTCAGGGCTTCATACTTTGAGGCCACACACCCAGACCTTTTTTGCTTTAGTTATTTTTCCAGATAGGGTCTTATACTTTTTGCCTGAGGCTGGCCTCAGACTATGATTCTCCGACCTATGCTTCCTAGTAGCTGGTATGATAGACATGTACCACTACATCTGACTTATTTGTTGAGATGGGGGGTCTTGCTAACTTTTTGCCTAGGCTGTCTTGAACCACAATCCACCTGATTTCAGCCTTCCAAGTTTCTGAGATTTAAGAATGTTCTACCATGCCCAGCCTTACCAGTATGTTTTGGTTTTTTTAAAAAAATAAAGATCCCCATGTCCTACACCTAGAGACTCTGGCTTAGTAAATATGGGGTAGGATCCACTGATTTCACAAGTGATTTCCATGGAAGTGGGCTGGGGACCACATTTTGGGAAACAGTGACTTCCATACATGCTTCCTTGTGTGAAACCATTATGAATTATATTGAGAAACACTAATACAGAAACTGTATCAATTCAACAGCAGCACAATCGGGTCACATCAACATAAGCAAAGCATACCTTACACATGTCTACAGTTTAAGAATAGAGGAAGAGATAGGAGAAGAGAAGCAAGAAGGGGGGTACAGAGGCAGGGAAAGAAAATATAATGCACATTATATTCTCAAACATCCAAATCTGAGATTCAATTTAACTTTTTAAATAGGTATAAGACAAAAAAAAGTATTACAAATTATCAAAAAGATGTGAGCCATACGCTATATTTGGAGATTTGAAAGGAACTTATACTAAACCTACTAATCTACCAAGAATCTTAGAATATTTTGTCAAGATTCTCTTGACTACCTCCAAAAGAAACAGAGAAGATTTTGAGTTGCTACAGGTTTCATGGTGATTTGGGAACTAACTGCAGTGATCTGGCCTACTATCAATCTATGGGCCATACTAAATTGCTATAGTTAGTGGCATGGCTAGACTGTCTTTGAACAATAATACCTGAACACATAAAATTCAAACTTCGGTAAGATTTCTTCAAAATCTGACTATAGTAATAGTGGCTAGTACATGCTTATGTGTCAGCATTAGGTTTCCAACACAATAGAATTCCATAAACTAAAGCTTAAGCATATTTTATACCCCATGTCAATGACTCAGGCGAAAACATCTGTGTATCAACTGTATTCTACTTATTAACAGGGTGACTATGAAATTATAAACTTGAGGCTAGGAATGATTTCATAACATATTTCTGTACTTACTCCATCTATATTTTCACTATTTTGCAAAAGAACAGCCCAAACCTATTTATTTCTCTAGCATCTTGCACTGTGCCTGGTACTCAACAAATATGTTTTGTTAAACACATAAATAGAAGGATAATGTGTTTGGAGGACTATTTGTACAAAGAAATAATATGTATTTCATACTGGTATTATCAAAAGCTCTTACAAAATTAGAATTACTTCAGAGGTTGAAGCACTTTAGTATTTAGTCCTTTCACCAAAAAAAATGCAAATATGCAAATGATACATTAATATTTAAAAAAAGACAATATCATTATCTTTTTTTTTTTCTTTTTTGGGTGGGATTGGGGTTTGAACTTAAGGCTTTGAGCTTGTAAACCAGGTGTTCTACTGCTTGAACCGCACCTCCAGCACAACAATGCCATTATCTTAAAGAACAGGTGGAAGTTGCATTTTATTTATTTATTTAAAAGACAACTTCAGACCAACATCTTAATTTATTTAGCAGCATTGGGCTTTGAACTCAGGGCCTCACACTTGGTAGGCAGGTGCTCTACCACTTAAGCCACTCAACCAACACAAGTTGCATTTTAAAATCCTGCCTCATACAACAGAAAAATTCCCTTAACCAAAATTCTGCCAAGATTTTATTGTATTTAAAAGATTTCTGCATTTCTTATTTTAGTCTGCTGATATGTAGACAACTGTAAGACGGCTTCCTGATCTTTGGCAATTTTCTAGGGCAAACAGATTTATTTTCATCATATAAGTGATAAAGTAACTATCCTATCTATTATAAGATTATGAGTTAAGATCACGGCTGGCTTGTTTGCATTCTTATTCCAACTCAATTAACTTAAAAATATTCCCTCAGAAAAAAATATACAGAAGTTACAAAATAATGTAAGCAACCTAACAAAATTACCAATGTAGTTATTATCCTGGAAACCATGGAAAACTATAATTCAGGAATTTCTAGCTACATGTGAATTTGCCAAATGAGAAACTTTCTTTTAAATGCTCTGAGAGAAAATTTTTCTAAGTGTTGTTCATTAATTTTATTTTTGACAATTTCTATCTCTGTATTTATGGCAGATACAAATTAAAAGCTAATTTAAAAATCTTTAAGGAACATCCTAGGCAGTCCTGTCCACAGCTGAAAATGTTCTCTACCTGCATCATCCAATATGGCGGTTATGAGCCTACTTAGCATTTGAAAATGTGACTAGTGAAACTAAAGTTATGAGTTTTAAATTTTATTCAATTTAAATGAATTTAAACTTCGATTTAAATAGCATATGATGCTAATAGCTACTAAATTAACCACCACAGCTCTAGGGTACCATACAAAACACAAACACTGAGTGTAAGTATCTAAGCAAATGCAAAAACAGAAACTGTAAAACAAATGATTTTGCTATTGCTAATATCACAACTAAAATAACTTGTAATGTTAAAAACCTAAAGCTGAGCCGGGCACCAGTGGCTCACACTGTAATCCTAGCTTCTCGGAAGGCTGAGATCAGGAGGATCATGGTTTGACGTTAGCTCAGGCAAATAGTTTGAGAGACCCCATCTCCAAAATAACCAGAGAAAAACAGATGGGGGTGTGTAGCTCAAGCAATAGGAGTGCCTGCTTTGTAAGCAAGAAGCCCTGAGTTCAAACCCAGTCCCACCAAGAAAAAAAATCTAAAGCTGGACATGGTGGTATACACCTGTAATCTCAGCACTCAGGAGGTTGTGGCAGGAGGATCGTGAATTTGAGGTTAGCCTAGCTATGGAGCAAGTTCCAGGGCAGCCTGGAACTATCTTAAAAAGAAAAAAAAAAAAACCAAAACTAATGACCAGTTCTTTCTCAATCTTATCTTTATTATATTGTTATGTTTTGCACATCTTTGTTTTAGCACTTTTTTTTATGAAAAAGAATACTGTTTAGTTTGTTTTGGTGGGACTAGGGTTTGAACTCAGGGCTTTGCGCTTGCAAAGAGGAGTTCTATGGACTGAGCCACAACTCTAGTCCTACTGTTCATAGCTATAACAATAAAAGTATATGCATATGTATCATAACTCAACCTTTTTTGTGTAATAATGGAGGAACACAGTGAACTGTGCAAAGTCTCTCTTTCTATATAAAAATATATATATGAGAGCAGCATATATATATATGCTCACCAGCCAGTCTACAGTACCTTTCAAAAATGACTAGAACAAGAAGCTTAAGAGGTAAAAGTGAGCATTTTATAACAGCATCTGGGACATAAACTTACCATGACCATTTTTCTTTGTTCATATAACTTCTGTAATTGGTAAGACTTTTCCTCTGCTTTGATGTAACCTTTTTTCACATCATCAACAGCCTGTCACCAAAATAAAAGCAGAGAAGCCAATGTAAAAAATCATTACCAAGTACATTCTTGATAAAAATAAAGAAACAGATGCATTTTCAGAAAATCCTGTATCCAGTTGGAGCATCATCATGTCGTTGTCGTCATCATCATCATCATGGTGAATTCTGCCACATGGATATATTTATTGGATTAGCTGGCATTTAAAGAGTATCTGGCATGTGTTCAAGGACTGTTCTAGGCTTGTGAGGGCTCCAGTTTCTCATCAAGAGATTGAAATTCTGATAAATTTATACACGTGAAAACAAAGAAGCACTGAAAGACAGTACAAAATACTGCATTAAAGGTAACAATGACATCACAAAAATGTACAGTCCAAATGTGATGTATGTAGTCAGAACAGGAGCACTTACTGCTAATTATAGTTATCAGGGAAGCCTTGGGCAGACTGCCAAAGGATAGGCTGAATGACAGAAACAGGAATGGGTTTGAGCTTAAATCACTCAGGAAACAGATCTGCCAGAGTTAAAGAAAAAAAAAGGATACAACGTGAGGGGACAATGCTGGACAGGTAGGCTAACAATCTATTGTATTAAAGGATCCTAAAAAGCAGGCATGGGAATTTTAACTTAAGGAGATAGATTTAAGTAGGGATCTAAAAGAAGCAATAAAAAAATGTGTCTTTTGTTTGTTTTTTAAAGAAATATTGATTTGTGTCTCAATGCCAAATGAATTAAGATAAAGAGATAAAACAGTGAGATCAAGGATATTGTGATACTTAAGGTAGAAATCATTTCCCATATTCCTTTCTTTTTTTGGTGACAGTGTCTTACCCAGGCTGGCCTAGAACAAGTCATGTAGCCCAGGCTGGCCATGAACTTATGATCCTTCTGCTTCAGCCTCTTTAGTACTGGGTTTACAGGTATACACCACCACACCTGGCATCCTATTGTCTTTTTATAAGTTTGTTTTTGGTGGGACTGCAGTTTGAACTCAGGGCTTTAAGATTGCAAAGCAGGCACTCTTAACACTTGAGTCACACCTCCAGTCCATTTTGGTCTGGTTATTTTGGAGATGGAGTCTCATGAACTATTTGCCCAGGATGGCTTCAAACCACGATCCTCCTGATCTCAGCCTCTTAAGTAGCTAGGATTACAGGTGTGAGCCACCAGCACCCAGCTTCCTATGGTCTTTTAAGAGAAAATAGTTGGGTAAAAGAATGAGTTCAGAATTGAAGTTGAGAGACCAGTTCAGCTTCTAGCTCTGTCACTTGCCAATGTGCACTTACGAAAATCACTTGAACCTTTAGTCTGTAGAAACACAAGTAATATTCATCTCACAGATGACAACAACATCTTGTCTTGGAGACAAAAGATGGTAACAATTTTTAAAATTTATAATTCATTTTAGATACATTTAAATTTTTTAGTTATTATTACTATCATCGTTATTAGTATCATTTAGCTGTTCAGTTCTTCTAAGAACCACATGAGGAATTAAGGTCCTGCAAGAGACTGTCTAATGGAAAGATGATGCTAGTTTCTCTCTAGTCTTGATCATACCCGTGGGGTTCACTTATGCATAGAGGGAATACACAATAAGAACTGCTATCCCAGGTCCTGAAAAATCTGACACTTTGCTATCTATCACCAAAAGGCTGTTCTGCTCCAGGCCAAATTTAAATCAATTATTAAAAAGCTGGGGCAGAATTAAAGAAGACAAACAAAGAAATACCGGCCTATCCCACTTTCCATGTACAATCAAACCCTCCATATCTGTGGGTTTAGCACACAGATAGAAAATATTTTCAAAAACATTTTATCTATACTGACATGCATAAACTTTTTTTTCATTTCCCTAAATATGGCATAACAACTAATTATAGGTATTACATTGTGATAGGTATTATAAGTAATCTAAAGATTATTTAAAGAGTACAGGAAGAAATGCATAGGTTATATGCAAATACTGTGACCTTTTTATAGAAGGGACTTGAACATCTCAGATTTTGGTATCCATTGGGTGTGTGTGGGGGTCCTGAAACCAATCTCCTGAGGATACCAAGAGATTGTAACTTAAGGTATTATTTAATTAAGAGAAAAGGCTTTACAATTCTTTTTTCTGATGACTAAGTAAATATTCTTTTTTTTTTTTTCAAATCCCCAATAGCTAGGATGGGACCTGTCTTGTAATAGTACTTAAATATATGATGAACATTTCCCCAGAGCAGAGGTAGGTCAGAGTGATTACCTACTCCAGCAACTCTTCAGAGAGCACTCTTTTTCTTATGGGACAGTGAAGTGTTCTCTTTCATTTCTTAGCAAGATTATACTGCTTGACTATCCCTGAATAGAAAACATAAAAATTGCCATACTAAATTCCTTTTTCTCTTAACTAAAAAAATTAAGTAAAAGATACACATAGTTAAAAACAAAAATACTACAAAAACAAAACAAAACAAAACTCAGTAAGCTGGGAACCGGGGGATACAGCCTGTAATCCTAATTACTCAGGAGACAGAGATCAGAAGGATCATGGTTTGAAGCTAGCCCGAGCAAAGAGTTTGTGAAAATCTGTCTCGAAAAAAAACCATCACAAAAAGGGCTGGTGGAGTGGCTCAAGGTGTAGACTGTGTGTTCAAACCCTAGTACATACAAAAAAACCCCCCAATAAAAATAGCAGCATATAAAAATAGCAGCATCTTGACCCCAGAGTTTCATTCCACAAAAGGCAGCTACTTTTAAGCACTCTAAACAATTTTTTGATCATCTTTCCATAATTCTAAATGTCATGTTTACACTAATAATTTTTTTTGAAGTTTTCTAAAGTTTTTTATTTTATTTTAAAATTTTTATTTTATCATTTTTATTACACTAATAATTTCTGACAGCAATTTTAGACACTGTTGAAGCAATTGTGAAGAAAAAAGCTACCAAGTAAACTGACACATCATTGACTGTAAGACAAATTTCAATTTCAGAGGTGTTAAAATGTGAAATAATGTGTACCTTAGAGTTGATATCAGATAAATAATGAGGATAGTGACTCTTTTCTTTAAAAAACTTAAGGTAGAAATTCTTGGTAGTTTATATTTAGACACTGTTACAATGACTAATGTTACTGTTTTTTTGTTTTGTTATATTTTTGTTTTCTTGAAACAAGGTCTTGCTATGTAGCCCAGACTGCCCCTGAACTTTCAATCCTTCTGCCTCAGCTTCCAGAGCCCCGAGATCACAGGCTTGTGGCACTATGCCCAATGGGTTTTAATTCTTATACCCCACAAAATTCCCATTCCTCTTCTTTCAATCTGTCAGTAAAACATTTTAACCAATATTCTACATTACTATTATGTAAACAGTGTTCACGACTAAGACATCTACTGTACTGACTGACTTCCTTTCTTGTATAATTTTTTCTCTGAGATTTATTGCTTCAAATTTCTGTAACTTTCATTTGCAAACAATATCCAACTTTTTTTTTGGTGGAACTAGGGTCTGAATTCAGGGCTTTGTGCTTGTAAAACAGGTGCCATATACTTGAGCCACACCTCTAAGCCTATTTTGCTCTGGTTATTTTGGAGATGGGGTCTCCTGAACTATTTGCCCAGGCTGGCCTTGAACCATGATCCTCCCAATCTCAGCTTCCCAAGTAGCTAGGATTACAGATATAAGCTACAGGTGCCCAGCTCCAATCTTTTTTTTTTTTTTTTTGTGGCACTGGGGTTTGAACTTAGGGGGGCAGGCACTCTACCACTTGCCTCCAATACACAATTTTTATCAAACAATTTACAAACAATAACTGATTCTGTCACCAATTCTTCCACAAGTACCAAACATCAAAACTCTTCTAGATTCATTCAAATATTCACAAATTGTTGACAGCTGTCATCTGTTTTATCCTCTTCTGTTCTCTTTGTCCTTGTACATTTATTCCTTTACAATCCCATTACTGTTATTTTAGTCAGTTTTCAGGAAGGAACAGCTTAAGTGTATGTAAATTTACAAGGTTTGGCAAGAATTTTACTATAAACTACTTAGAATATCTACTATATATGTTTTTTTATGGAAAAGGCTCACTACCCTTATTATTTATCTAATATCTCACCAATTCTAAGATACACATTATTTCATATTTTAATATCTCTGAAATTGGGATGTATCCTTACAATTAATGATGCCAGTTTATTTGGTAGCTTTTTTCTCTTTATTCACAATACAAAAAATAATGATGTACCTTATAATTTACAACATCTTAGAATCAATAAAATACAGTAAATATTCCTACCATCAAAATATGATATAAAAATTAAAATTAATAAGGGGAAAATTTAGTATTATTTCCAAAAGACACTATCAAAAACATCATTTGAGGACTGGAGGTGTGGCTCAAGCAGTAGGCTCCTACTTTGCAAACAGGAAGCCCTGAGTTCAAATCCCAGACACACACACAAAAAAATAGAAAACAAAAAACAGAAAAATGACAATTGCAGACCTTTATGCCTCCTTTGCTGGCAGAGTGGTTCAAATGAGTCCTGTATGCTGTTATGCTGTTGGTAGGAATATAAAATGGTGCAGTCACTATGGAACAACTAATGGTTCCTCAAAAATTAAAAACAGAATAAAATATTTAGGGATAAATCTAAATAAGCAGGTGAAATACAATGAAAACTATAAAACATTGAAGAAAGAACTGAAGACACCAGAAGGATCTCTAATGTTCATGAACTAGCAGAACTAATACCATGAAAATGGCTATGCTACCAAAAGCAATCTACAGATTCAATGCAATTCACATCAAAATCCCAATGTTATACCTCACAGAAACAGAAAAATTAATCTAAAATTTATATGGAAACATAAAAGATCCCAAATAGCTAAAGCAATCCTGAGCAAAAAGCACACTGGAGGTACCACAATACCTGACTTCAAATTATAATACAGAGCCATAATCACAAAAATAGCATGGTACTGGCACAAAAAGAGACATGCAGGCCAATGGAATAGAAGACTCAG